GCTTATGATTAGATTTGTTGTATATAAAAATGTTAGATGTACAAAATATGATATATGCTCTAAACAAAAATGATATATTCTTTAAGGCCATAATAATATCTAAACAAAGTTGTTCTAGTCAATACAAATGAGTAGCTTTAAAAGGTCCTACGACTCTTTTACAAGTCTCAAAGCAACTGTAACAAAAACTTAATTTAGCTTCACTTTTTAACCCACGGCGATTGCCAATTAACTATTTCATTAACACATGTGAGGATTCTTAAAAAAATATATGTATATATATATATTAACATTTTGTAAGAGGTAGCTCTACGCATGTGTTTGGCTTGGCAGCAACAATGCTAGCCAGCTGAATAGATGCACGAGTTGTGTATTGTGTGCAGCATGTTAATTAAAAGGTACGCATGAAGCAATCCCAACTAGCTGTTACCTGTAAAGCGTTGCATGCAACAGCGTTGTTGGCAGCCAGACTAATTAAAGCATATGCAGCGTGGCAGCAACAAATGTTTGAATGAAGAAATATGCAAAAAGAATATGTGAAACTAAAGAGAACGTTGAATGAAGGAAACACCGGTCTTTTTTTTTTTTTTAATAAAATGCAATGCCAAACATCTCCGCAGCAGCAGCAGAAACACGACAATCAAAGGCAGCAGCAACAACAACAACAGCCGTTGCCACAGCGGCAACCGCTACAAAGAGCTGCAACACTTCAGCAGCCGGGCACAAGGCGTCGCAAGGGGACTGCGACGACGGCGCCCACTGTGAGGAGACAAGTGTCATGGGGTCCGCCAATTGTAGCGGAAACGGATGTAGATACGGCCAGCAATAACAGCGGGAGTGGCAACAGCAACAGCAGCAGCAGCAGCAACGGCGGCGGCAAGGAGACCAGCCGCAAAACAGCCAAGCAAAATGGCTACCACGGCATCAATAGACGAGCGACAACAACGCGCAATTGACAGCAACGAATAAAAAACGAAAAGAAAAACAAAAAAAAAATATATATATATAAAATATGCAAAAATAGAAAGAATAATAAAAATCAGCATAAATATTTCGGCAAGACAATAAGTCGAAAACAGGACAAACAACAATTTATATGGATTAAAGAGCCAAGAAAAATAACGGAAAAAAGAGAAAAAATATATACATACATTTTACAACGGATACTTATGTATATTTAAACGAAATTTAAATGCAATCAAGTATTTTTAAACATTTAAATTGATCAAATGAAGGCAAATTGATTTGCAAAAATGAAATATTTAATCGGATTTCTAAAGCAAAATTTGTTATATTCTAGACAAAGCTAAGGCTTTATCTAAATTTGATAAAACAGTAGCAAAAACATATAATCTAATATAAAGTTTGTAGCGAAGACTTTTATCAGATATACTGAATACTTTTATACACAAAAGTAATTGAATTAGTTCATGGAATAAAAACAAAATGAATAGATAAAGAAAATTCTTGAATTTTCTTATTTTCTAGACAAGAAGCTGAGGTATTTAGGTTACTTATCAAAGCAATAATCTAGATATTTTCTATTAAAACTTTGTACTAAAGTTTTCTAAGCGTTCATAGGATTTGCATAGAAAATTAATGAATCAACTCACTTGATTAACAACAATTTATTGTACAAGGAAATTTGTTAAGGAAAGTTTTTTTCCGTCTGATATATTCTAGCAAGAAAATGAGCCAGTAATTCATAGGAATTTTTGATGAAATGAGATGGGATATATATGAGAGATTTATGAGATGTATGAGAATGGTTGTATATGTCATTGTATATGAATAAACCAACGAAAAGCATAAGAAGATTTGATAAACTATTTAAGTGTGACTACAATATAAGCAAACAAAATAGAGCTAAAAAGTTTATAAATTGTATTCGAAGCAGGTATTAAATGTAAATTAAAATATATCCTCGTATATATATACATGTATATACACATATGTGCATATATATATATTTGTATGTCTGCATCCATAAATAATAAATTTAAGCAACTGACTTGCAGTTCTCGCTGCGTGTGTGATATATATGATGATAATAAAAGTTTTTTCCTTTGCGATAATAATAATAACAAAAAATGAAAAAGTTGAGGTAAAATTATTTCTGCGAGCATATAAAAGCATACTTTAATATGTATATTAATTTAAATTCTCATTTATTTCAATGATTTTATTAAAAAAGTTTGCTAACGGCAAAATGTTGAGTTAAGCAACAAAAGAGAAAAAGGAGAAGACGAGGTGAAAGCAGCCAAATATTTTGGCACACATAATGGCACTTCAATATGTAATGCAGTACAAGACGTGTAGATGTGTGTGTGCGTGTGTGGGTGTGTGTGTTGGTGGGTGTGTGAGTGTGTGTGGGGAGTCAACCGACAGCTTGTTAGTGGCTTTGTTGGTCAGTACTTTCAACTAATGTGTTTTGTGCGACCATACAAAATCTCAAGCACCCACTTACACACACACACACACACACACACACACACATACACATACACATATAAACTCACGTTTCTCCCTAGCACACACACACACACTATTTGATGTACTTAACTTTCGTCGTTGTAGCTAGCAGCTGCTGCTGTTGCTGCTGCTGCCATTTAGGATGCCAACAAACCGCAGAGCACATGTATGCATGTATGTGTGTGTGTTTGTACGAATGAGACAGCATTATGCTTCATCTACTCGAGCTTTGGCTGCCTGCATAAAATAACCGCATAAAATGTCGTTAAGCATAACGAAATTGAGTCTGCTCATAAATTCAGATTATAAGATTAAAATGTTGTGATTTTCGCACATTGCGCACGAACCAAAAACCCCTGGACCAGCCCTCGCGAGGCCCCCAAGTGTCGACAGCTCGAAGAAAACCCCTTTTACATAATGAAATATCGAAAGAAAATGGCATATGCCAAGGCTCAAATACTCTGTAAGATTTGTGAATCAGGCGAATGTTTGAGAACTAAAAAGAAAATTCGGATTTTTGGTTTAAATTTACTTTTTTATTATATTATGGAAATTTGCAAAATTTTTAATTATTTTTTTTACTCTTAGTTTTTTTTTCGCACTTACCTAGACTTTGAATTTATCTGTACAAAATTTACCAAATTTTTATAAAATATAGAGTTTCATTAATAATGAAAATAGAGAACAAATTTTGTTTCGATACAAACTCTATAAAGCATATACCCCACAGTAAAAGTGAGGGGTATTAAATGTGCAGCAGCCCAAGGAGCTGCTGTTTTCTTTACATTCCCTTTTGCCGGCAGGCATGGGCCGGGTGGCAGCTTCAGCTCCCGCAGGACGCCGGGCTTATTGAAAAATGCGATGATACAAGGCGTTGAAAATGGCCAAATTTAATGAGTTTACGACCAGCTCTCGGGCTTTAAAGCCAACAAGTGCTGAAAAGCGCTAAACGCGCTGTGAATACGAAAAAAACTTTGATGAAATTTGCAAAAGGAATGAAGGAAGAACACGAGATAGACGACTGTGAATTACGCCGATTTCTCATATACTTCCTACACCTTTCCTGAAATCTACAGGGTATACACTTTGATAGCGGGCAGTCTATGCCGCTTTTAATCTTGTTATCTGCGAATAGTTTTGTTAATTCCACACGTTCAACGAACTTGAAATTCATTAAAGCAACCTGCCAGCGATTAAAGCCAAATATTTGGTTTTGGCCCGTTCACAAATTTGGGTCAGCTGGCAATTTGGCTAGATGGCTGACAACCCTGGCGGCCCGCCGCAACTCTGGTCTGCTCATGTGAAATTCCCAAAAAAAAAAAAAAAAAAAAAAAAGAAAGAAAAAAAAAAAAAAAAAAAAAAAAAAAAACTAAAAAGCCATCAGCTGTCGGTTCATTATGATGCTAATTGCGACCAAAGCGAATGAGAGCGAGTGAGCTTGGGAGAGACAAAGGAAGAGAGTGTGTGTGAGAGAGCGCGAATTGTGTGTAGAGGATTAGTTAACAACGTGCAAATGATATGCAACGTGCCGCATGTAGCATGCAACATGCTGCCTCACGCTGCCACAGGGCCCTGTCACTTGACCCATAAACAGTTCGTTTGGCCTAATCCAGTTATGCATGCATCTGGATTAGCGTGTGAAAACGCGCAGGACCAAACTCGTATCCTTGCGGCCCGCTCCTGCTGCTGGCTATCGCTGCTGCTGATGCTGCCACTTTTTGCGGCAGCCGTTGCGACTTTACGACACTTTTTAGGTAATGAATGGGATTAAGCACACTTTTTTTTTGTTTTTGTTTTAGTAATCCAGTTGTAAAAAAAAAAAATGCAATCATTTCAATGAACCATAAAAAAGGGCACCTTTACCTCGTTGACCTGTGCCACAGCAGCAGCAGCAGCAGCAGCGCAGCAGCCGCGTCGTAGCTCATGAATGAGCAGGTATTTGCCGTGCCACCCGGAATGTGGCATAAAAGTGAGCAACATCCGAGCTGAGGACAGCAAACGCAGTTCAGCATTCCAGCAGCCAAGATGTGCAATCCACAACAGACGCCGACTTCAGAGCAACAACAACAACAGCAACATGCAGCAGCCAGCACAGCCTATGCCCTGTACTTGCATCGCGAGGAGCTGAGACGCCGCAAGCTGCATTCAGTTCGCACCTCGGCCACAAAGATACAGCTGACCAATGAGTTAATTGCCAGAACCAAGCAGAACATACGCGAATGCAGCGATGAGGACCTGGAGATACTCGCCCGAGAGACCGTATTTAAGAAGAGTCTGCAGCGACATTTACACTACAGACGCATGCAGCTGCAGGCCTGGATGCAGGCCAAAAGGCAAGGCAAAATTGCCAAAGTGGAGCCAAAGCGAAGCGTATGAGAATATTGAGAGATAGGGAGAGAGAGAGAGAGAGAGAGAGAGAGACATCTCAATTGTTCATGCACCAATAACAGCCAAAGTGATAAATCTAACATTTTTTATGTAATTGTATATATATTATATGTATATCTAGATATAAGGAATAAAAAATT